CAATGTCACGGTTGCTCGCCTGGCAACCTGGCTCAGGTGTGGCTACCAGAAATTGCCACCAATTAATGCGACTTATGCGGCACAAAGCCTCAAGTTTCCACGGTTTCAGAGTGCACAGAACGAAATACTCGAGCACAGATAAAAATTATTATAATCGAAGACAGTTTCTTTTTATTTCAATTACGATTTCTACAGATCGAAGTTACAAGTGTTTAATGGATTAATAGATTAAATGAACATAAGTGAAGTAAATACTTTTCAACTTGAATCAAGACTGAATCAGCGCTTCAAATAGTTCTGACCTTAAGCATTTTAAAGAACCGAAAGCAACAAGGTGGGGCTTAAGCAATTTTGGTCAGAAAGATTAGAAAGTTTATATATTGCCTATTTTCTCTAGGCTTTAAAAACACAACAATAAAACAGTTACTTGTCTTAAGATTTTTCCTCTTTGATTGTGCTTTTTTTTATAAATATTTTTTATATTATGTACGGTGCCAGCATTGTTAAGACCAAATTCGAAGTTACTGCAACTTAATTAAAGTACGAAATGTCTGTCTGTGTATGCCATTGCCACCCCCCATTAACGAGGTGCAGCTCCTGAATTGTGTTGGGCTCGCTTTGTTCATTTGGATACTTGTTCGATGCGCCCAGCTGCATTTCAATTACAACATATTTGAGGCGCTTCGGGTAAACGGTGCAGTGCCAGTGCATCTACGCAGTGGGTCCATTCATCAACGGCCGGCAGTCGGTGCGACCAACATAAGTTTTCAGTTGGGACCATTTACGGGCCATCGATAATGGGGCACCAGGTTCTCGTTGTTAATCAGCAGCGGCATCTGAGCCAGTTCGGCTCAATGAAAAAACGATACGTATGAAAGTGCTGAGAGGCTATTTTGATGCCGGCGCTATCAGCATGTCAATGGCGTTGCAATGAGCTGACCCGCAACTCGTGTGCAGGAGTTATTGTCAACAGCACAACTCCTTCGTGGCGCACTCCCTCTTCATAGTATGCTTTCAAAGAGAGCAGCTCTTTCTCTCTATTGGTTTTCAAGTACATTTTTGTTTTACGGTGTTATCGGTGACCATCGTTTACCCGATGCGCTGTGGAGCACTTCCGTTCACTCTCTGGCAGAGTTAGCTTTTGTTACGTGAGCGCATCCTTTTTGGAGGTGGCGGTACATCATTTAAATTCCATTATTAGTTGTGTTGCCATGGCCAGCTTCGGCACTTTGCGCTTCAGCTACTTTGTGCTACTAAGCTGCCACAAGCCGCACAAAGCCAAACTGGCAGCTAGTTCTAGACAATATTTTAATCAGGATAGATTGACGCTAGTAGATTGACAATAGACTATCAAAATGCTCTCTAGTTTCTACTGAAATAAGCTATCAGCTATTTATGCAGACTATGAATATTTAAATATGCAAAACAACAATGAGAAACTGTAAATAGGTTAGATCGAATATAGTTTTACGTTGCACAAAAGAACATTAACAAAAGCTGAGGAGTTTTGTATTAGCTAGGGTCGTAACTCTTGACAAATCCATTTTTGTCAAAGTGGTAAATGTCTCCTGTTTATATTATAGAAAATCGATATTCTTGCTTTGCAATACTTGACCTGTATCTGCAACGTAGTCAAAAGTAAGACTAAATTACTGTACTAGATTTAAGATGAGAGAAGCCAGGTCTTGCCATTTTATTTGAATGTAGAATTGAAATAGTGCTTCTGAAAGGCTGTCATAAAAATGAGTTTAAGTGGAAAATGTAACAGAAAATGAGTTTAAAAGTAAAAGGGTAACTACTCGGCAGAGGCTGCTGCAACCGATTGCTGCAAGGTAACATTAGTTGGGGCAACTGGCAAGTAACAGAAACAGGATCTGGATAGGAATTGGGCTCCGTCAGGATTGTGGAGTTGTTGAGATGTGCTTAGTGCTTGAAGGCCAGCCACATTGGCATGCTATGGTTGTGTTGGCGTTGAAATTTAATTTACACCTTTGCACGTACACGAGAAACCAAACATACACACACACTTACACATACTCACACACATGCTGATGATGGGCCTGAGCAATCATCAGCAGCGTGTTGCCCCGCAACCCCTCCCCCCTCCCCCAGCCTTCACCGTTCAGCGGTCGCAATGTACAAAAAAGTTTTCTTTTGCAATTTAGCTTGTTGCTGTTACCATTTTTGCTGGTTACCGGTGTTGTTGCTGTAATTGGCCTTGTTGTACATGCGTCGGGCGTGGCCGGGTTGTCGGTTAGTGCGGTTATATTTGACTTTTACTCAGCTCGCTTTTGTGGTGCCGCTAATGCATGTCGATGCCAATAAAAGCGCCAGCCTGCACCACCTGTCGCCCATACTTGATACCCAACCACTTCCCATGTCACCCCTGGTCCTGCTGCCTGTTTATCTTGCCGTTCACACCTGCAAAACTTCTCTTAGCATAAGTTTTTGTCTGTTTTATATGGCAAGTCACCCCCCTTGAAGCTGTCCCTGATCCACCCACGCCCACGGTCCTTTGCTCGTCAGCAGGCGATGCCTTTACAAATTCGTGTAAATTGAATTTATTGAGGCATGCGTGTGCGCAGTTGATGACTTTGGTTGCCAAATTGGCTTCGAGGTATTTTCGTTTACGCGGCAATAAGCAATATTTGACAGCCAAACTGATACGGAATGAAACCATTCCATTCGTCCACTTCTCGCCATCTGGGTCACCCATTAAGCACCAGTTGCAGCTGCTTTTCGTATGCTGCATTAGCCTAATTTGCTGGCCAGCTGATGCTCGCTGGCTAATGAAAAATGCTGTGCGCTTATAGAAGACAACTTGTTACGCTCGCGCCCAAAGTTATGCTACACATCTCTTATGAAACGGGCAGAAGTCTGGACAACAGATTGCGTTGGAACAGAGCAGGGGGCAGTGGGAAGGAAGTCATTTTTTATAGTGCCGTGGTTTTCGCCGTTTTCTCATTTTATTTCTCTTTTTTCTGTCGTTTTTTTTTTTTTTTGTTCAAGAGCGACTTTTGCAAAAGTTGTTTCGAAAGTAGCAGCTACGAGGACTTTGCTGGCCTTGTGACTTTTTGCAGAGTTTTGTGCATTAGCAACTTGTTAAAGTGCAGAATTGTGATTAACATAATCCCTTGAAGCGGGCGTGCGACAGCTGCAGATGCAACTAAGCGATGCAAAAGGTTATTTAACCATTTTAACAAGATCCAAATGAATTGTAAGCACTTGTCTCTCCCCCATCTTACACATCGCTTCTGTATTTTGTGAAAGTTTTTGTCGTTCACGGGGCACAAAATTAAATTTCCTGAGCACACACGCAAAAAAAAAAAAATAAAAAAAAAATAAACTAAGCCAAAAGCAAAGCAGCAAATAACGAGTCGTGTAAACCAACAAGGGAGTAATGAAGTTTTGCGCTCAATCAAGTTTAATAGGGAATTATGCCTGTGGCAACACAGCAACAACTGGCAAAAGACAGCCGTGAAGCGTCAAAAAGCATGTTAACAAGGTGTCACCAAATGTCGCCCAAATTGTGTGAGCCATCGAAATGAATGGATGTCGTTTGAGTTGTGGCCCAAGATGCGGGAAGGTAAGTATTTCCGTTTAAAATGTTGTGGCCGGAAATGAGCGAAATGCTCAACATCAGATGACTTATAACTGGTAATTAGATGAAATGAAATTTATGTATATATCTATGCATAATAAAAAATTACTTTGATTTGTGTGGGATGAAAATTCTGATAAAAGAAAATTTGTATACCAAACGATTTTACATATTGATTGACTGTGAACGTCATCTAAAATTCACATAGAGACTCCAAGATCTACCTATGTTAATCATGACAGAACATATTTCCCATAACTTACATATACCCACGCGGAGCAATGTTAACGCTTAACATGTGCTCAATTTGAGCTCACCTCAGAGCAAGCAAAGCAACAGCCAGCATGAATTGGGTGCGCTGTAATACGACTCTCAGTGAGTCGGATTCAAGGTCGTCTTGTGACACATTTCTAGCAATAGAGTTAACATTGGCTGCAGCTGAGCGCCAGTTGAGCTTCGGCTGCTGTGAGAGCGAGGCGACGCAACGGTTCCAATGTGGGTGCGGTTGAGTGAACTTTATTTTGAGTGTAGTGCTGTTCGCTCTAGCTATGAGATACTTTTAGCTGCCGCTCAAAGTCCTACTTTCTTTTGCTGTTACTTTTCCTTTTTTTTTTTTGTTTTCTTTACTCTCAGCTGATATGTGTTGGCCGACATTGTTGTTGCAGTTGTCGCTTTCTTTGGCAAAGGCCTATTTGGTTTTTAGCCAAGTCATTTGTTTGCCCCTGAACCCATCAGCACACACCATGACACACACACACACACACACACACACAAACACACACACACATTCACAGACACAACCTACGAAGGGGACTCCTGCTCTATTATCAATTCACTGTGAATGGCGGCGCGCATGGAAAACATTTTTCATCAACATGAATATCCCGTTAGACATTTGCTTTGTTTTTTCATTCCTTGTTGTTTTTTTGTTTATTTTTTTCTGCTTGAGCCCGACATTTTGAAACTTTTGGCAGTCTTTATTATACTTATTATCGCTTCATACTTTGGCCGACGTTTAAATTGAGCAATGTTGAGTTTTTCTTCTTTTCTTTTGGCATCTTTTATTTTTATTTTTTAGATGATGATATGTATATATTTTTTGTTGTTTTGTGTGGCAGCTGCCAAAGTTTTAGCAAACACTTGGCTAAAATGATGGCAATTGATTGGATTACTTTTTCACCTTCCTAACTTATTAGAATATCAGCAAAATAAATTAAAGTTTCTGACACTTTCTCTTTTTTGTACTGCTATTGTATGAACTTGTGATGTTGTGAACTTTTTAGAAATGGGAAAATGCTATACTTCATTATACTATTATACTTAAATATATTGATATTGATTTATGTAGATTAATTTATTTATTATTTATATATATTAATATTAGAATATTTGTATAGAATCGCTGTTACTTCAATTAGTTTGCTCAGTGTTGAGGGGTTTGGATTTCTCTTTCTCTTCCCCGCTGTCTTGATTAGTGCAAGTCTTCAAGTGATCCAGCAGCGGAGCGGTCTCCAGCTTAGGCATCTGTTGCAGCAATGTCCAGTCGTATACGTAATCATATTGATGATTTAACGTTCTGAGCAGTTTCTGGAACAATTCACGTAGGTAGGTGTAATTGGGTTGCTCCTCGAAACGCAAACTACGACAATAGTTCAAGTAAATGGAGAACTCGGCCGGTGAGCCCTCGCATAACACCTCAATGGGCGTGGAAATTTTTTTCTCACAGATTTGCTCGGCTTTCTGCTGGTTTCTTTCGGTCTGCAAGCCCTGCCAGGGCAGGGAGCCCCGATTAAAGTATATCAACGTATACCCCAGAGATTCCATATCGTCCCGCCTGGACCGCTCGATGCCCTGATGGGCCGCGATCGAGGCATATCGCGCCGTACCCGTCAACGCCTTGTCCTCGGCGTAGCAGATGTGTTTGCCCGAGGGTGAATCTCGAAACTTTTTGGCCAGGCCAAAGTCGACCAGAAATAGCTTCTTGATGTTCTGGCCAATGCCCATAAGGAAGTTATTCGGTTTGATATCCCCATGAGTTATGCCCTTCATATGTATGTAATGTAACCGGGCGATCATCTGATCGGCTAGCATTAGCACCGTTTTGTAGGTAAATTGACGTTTGCAGTAATCGAACATATCCTCCAGAGAGGGCCCCAGCAGATCCATGACCAGCATATTATAACGTTTCTCCGTGCTGCGATGATGAATGCGCGGAAAACCGATGCCGGCACTGATGATGCGATACATTTTCGCCTCGTTCAGCAGCTGGGAATTGTGCTCACTGATTTTCTCTATTTTAATGGCAACCTTAACTCCACTCTCGATGTTTTTGCCCAGATAGACGTCACCGAACGAGCCGCCCGCAATCATGCGTATCAATTGATATTTGGCACCTATAATTTTCTTATTGCGAGCGTTCTTAGGCGAATTCATAGTGTTTGTTGCGTCCATGGTTTCAATGGGCTTTGGGCTTTTTTGCTTGTAGGTTAGCTGCAAAACCTAGGACAAAAAAAAATTAAAAAAATTTATCTGTTTAAAAATGCGTTGCAAATCTGCGATTTCTACAGCGAATGACTCTCTTGTTGCACGTGCAACTGTCGCGTGATTGTCTTTTTGCACTTCTCGTATAACAAAATATTGAAATATTTTTATTTTATTACTAATATTTTATATATTATTTGACTCCGGCAGAAATGCTTTTCTACTGTTGACAGCCAGCGATAAGCAATCGATTCGACTGCAATAAATACTTAATACTGAATATATTGTTGCATTTGCATACATATCGATAGACAAATATCGCATACAACCCTCAAAAAAGAATCGCTGAAATAACGAAAAGTGTGGCGGGTCAGCGAGATCACCAAGTGTGTTCGTTTAAATAAATGTTGTGTTTTTCCACACAGCAGCCGACAGCAGGCCACGCCGCAATTTATTTAGCTTGGTCAAAATTTGTCTGCAATTGACACCATGTATATATCTATTTGTCATTCTTATTCGTATATTAATCTATTCATATATTTATTATTCATTTAAATATTTAAATTTACACCATTGTCATTCCATAAAATTTCGGCGTCCGGATTTTTGCTAAGTCTAGATCACTTTTTTTGCACCAAACCCCCCCACACCGAATACTTATATTAGAGCTCTAATAGGGTAGGATAGGGATTGAGCGTCACGGGAATAATAATAATCATATTCGTTCGATTTTCGTTTGCAAGAGTCTCGATTTAAATTAAAAATTGAATTGCCGTTTGAAACTTACAACGCTACAACACCATGTGTATGCATGAAGGTCTTTATATAGTGTTGTGTAGGTCAAGTTAATTTTGGAGTCTGTACCGTCCATGGGCAGGGTTGGAGTTACCTCTGGGAATACTGCTAGTCAAGCTGTCAAGAATATATATGGATTATGGCGTCATAGACGTCTTCCTTAATATGTTGCAAACACCACAAAACAATACAAATATGAGACTAGACCTACTACAGGACATAGAATCACCTAGTCTCTCACGCAGACACATTCGCTAAGGCATTCTTTGTTTGCTTAGATTATTTTCGATGTGTTTTTATGCTGATAACAGCAAATTTTTGTACCCAGTGCTTGGACATACCTTTAGCCAGCATGTGTATTAAATTAGTTGCACGAGTCAGCATATTTTGTGGTAGTTAATTAATTAAGGCAGTCCGTTTTGCTTCAGTGTCCAAGAAAAGAAGCTGACTCGACTGTTTAGGGAGCTGGTTGTCATTGGTATTAAAAATATTGTTGTTCATTGTTTTTTGACAAATTGTTGCCTAATTGGTGTTTTGATATTCAATGTTCCGAGTAACTGAGTACATTTTTTTGTTCAATTGAGTCCATGTTATGTGTTATCAACTTTGGTTGCTACAACACATAACTTGTTAAAGAATACATGGGCAAATGTAGCATGTACTCATGTTCTCCATCTGACAAAATGTCGCACATAAGGCCTTGGACCTTGGACCAAGTTGTGTGCATTCGCTTGACTGCACTGTTATACATACACTTAGTCCTTATTGTATTATTTTAATTTCGGAAACTAAGTTTGCTGCCGGCGCGATACAGAGCAAAACGCTGCCGGATTTCGATGGGAAGGTAAACCGAAGGCAAGAAGGACTCATTGCTCGTTGCGAGATTGCAGTTTGTGTTCAATCAAAAGTTTCAATTTTGTTGTAGCGCTCATAAGATGTTGGTAGCTTACTCCTAACCGGACTTCGTGCTTGCCCCCTCTGGCCATTGTTTGTCCACTGGCTTCTTGGCTGGCCTCATGGGTCGTCGCATCAGTTTGGCAAACTATGCGTATCCTTGCCTTAATGACGTAGCCATTGCCCAGAGGTCACCTACTGTTTACCCGACTCCGCACTCCGACACTGGCAGGGTCTAACTTTAATTTGAAAACTATGCCATGGTTCAAAATTCACATTTTTGTCTCTTTATTTGACTTCTGTTGTTTTGCTTGTTTCCCTATCTTTGGCAAATATTGCAAGGAATTTAATTTGCGTTGAATGTTGTCCTGCCTTTAGTTGCACAAGCGACTTTTGTTTATATTGCACTTACGGAATTGCAAATAAAATAACGTAAAATAATCAAATGAGTTTTTGCTGTTGGATGAAAACTGAAATTGAAATCGAATTAAATCAACCATTTATAGCAATAAAGTGGATGCATACGGTTCGATGGAAAATGAAATAAATATTAAGTGCGAATGTTTAGGTTTACACTACCGCGGCTTTCTCTGTAATCAGCTAAATATTGTGTTTAACAAAGAAATGGCATATTATTATATATGTATGTATATTTAGGCAAGGGCAATAACATTTAATGACAGGGATCATATGAATCTTGATTAAATAATAAATACGTGTATATCTCACTTAAGGTGTATGTCTGGCATATATTTACATTTCCACATTTATATTACAGGGAAAATACAAAAACAAAATTAATGTCCGATAAATATAATGACATGCCGTAACCGGAAATATGTTGTCTGGTTGATGGCATCCACCGTATGGCACGGAAATCGAAAACATATAAATAACTTGCTTAATCACGGGTCAGATTGCGAGCAAGAAGCAGCCTCTTATTATTGACATTGAAAACAAATGAATGTTTACAGAGCCATGTGGCTGTTTTGACAGTTGCTACTAAAGATTCAATAGCATTTCGTGCAAAATTTCTTCATTAAAATATATTATCAGATAATATATAGTTTAAAAGTAATTCATATTGTCGCTAGTCATCGACTATGAAAACTCTATCTCTATCTGTCCACCTGCAAAAAAATATGAGAAACGTCAGCCTCTGAAATTTTCTCGCGAATGCAAAGTTGTATATTTATTTATTTTTTTAAAACATTTTTTATTAAGGTCAATTTTAGTTCACAATAAAATGAATATTTAAATACTAAACATGGAAGCTCGTGGTTCACTCATTTAATAAAAACATCTTCACAGTTTTCAATTTAGCCAATATTGAATATTTTGGTTGAGTAGCAAACTCGAATTAATTAATGTTAATCATTTATGAATGGGTGCATTAAAGATATGCGTACATACTATTTGGATTATGAGGAATGCGCAGTAACTTCTTTTGTTTCCTTCGAAGTATACACAGCGCATCTAATTAACTGTGAAAACAATGGAAATTGCGAATGCATAATGAATGTACACTTTGGCTGTAGTTCGAAACTTGTTGCAAACTCCAAAATAGGAATTTTTGAGTGGGCTGCCGGGCTGAAGCTCAACCCATAAAATACTTTCCAATTGCTATTCATACCTAATGAGCCGGCATGAGCCTTTGCGCACAAATAGCAGCATTAAAATTAGGTTGCATATGTGTGTGCAGGTCTGCCACAGCAACCATGGCAACTGCGACCAGGAGTGCACCAAATTCTATATGCATTGGTGCTGGTGCTAGTGTTGAAACGAGTTAAGTTAGCTGCCTGCCTGCGCCTGCAACCATGGGGCGTATGAGCGATGTGCAAAACAATTGACCAGCGACCCCCACTCTCTCAAGTTGAAGTTAAACACAGCTCGTGCAACATCGCGAACTGGTTTGGCTTCGGCTTCGGCCGCTTAGCGACAATTGTTGCAACATTTAAGCTTAATTACAGCTAAGCGCTTTTCACCTCACTCCCTACCGCCAGCCGCTTGCAGCCACCTTGCACTCACTTGCAATAGTATATGCACCATCCGCCATTTGCTGGTGCTCGACAGCTCATTAAATTTAATGTGCAATAAAAATAGTTGCCAGCGCTAGAATGGATGGCAAACGTCTGTCTGCCCGTTAGTCTGCTCGTCAGTCTGTCTGCCCGTCGGCCCATCCGCCTGTCAGCCAGTCAGTTTGGGTCGACTGGCAGTTCACCGCTGCTCGACTATTTCGGCTTATGCTACCAACGTTAAGAGCCCTTCTCCTGTCATGTTGGCCGCTAAGTACGCCGCAACTTGCGACTTACGTCTTGCGTCTGCTGCTCATGCATATTTATTGCTGGCGATACCCTTCCGCGGAGTATGCAAATTTTCTGTACAAACTTGCTGTTGACGTTCTTTGTTATTTGGTACTTGAGAATTTTTCAAGTGAAATTTATTACCAGCTATAATTATTACAATTAAGTTATAAGCAACTAATGCTAATGATTCGCTTATATCCTTATAGCTGCATTTTATAGGTTTAGCTTTTGCTGTTATTTATCACAATCAACGAATTACCACACAAATTTGTAAAAAAATCTGCATAGCTTTAGTTTTTGGTTGTTGCTTCTGTTGTTGCTTAATTGTCATTTTGTTAGCACACAATCTAGATTTTCAATTCAAATCTTAGTTCAAATTTTTTTACAGAGACCAAATCAGGCTAGTACATAATTTATATTTTTAGTTTAAAATTCAAAGTTATAGAAAAATTCAATATTTTGAGATACATAATTTCCGATGGGATACAAAATTATAGCATTTTTCACCCAAGTGCTTTTTAATACATATGGTTCGACTGCTAACAAAGCATTAGTGTATTTGTGTAGTGTATTTGTTAGTTAGAAATACTCGGCAGGAGTATTTACTTATTTTTTTATTGTGCTGTTGAACATCTTGCATTTTTCGCTGTTTGCACTCCAGCTGCTTATTGAAAATAACTTTGTACGGCACAACTTTTTGGCCGGTTGCGGCCTCAAGGCAAGCGTTTAAAAATAAGACAGAAAACAATTTAGCAATCCATGTTTGGAGCTTGTGAGTAGACAGTTGGGGATACACCTTTGCTAGAGCAAAAGAGAGATAGAGAGGAAGAGAGAGAGAGAGAGAGAGAGAGAGAGAGAGAGAGAAAGATATAGAGAGCTACGGATTCTGAACCAAGAGCAGTAATTTCGTGCACAAATGCGCATTTTATTATCTGGCGCTGAGGTGAACGTGTGACTGCCACACCTACCTATTTGCCACATCTG